TCTCCCTGATCCATCACCCTTCATTTTCTCGTTTGGGCCACAGACAGTGTGTCGTGAGGCCCGTGTGTGAACAGCCTCTGCTGAACCCCAGACTGAGGGACTGGGGGATGGCACTGGTGGAGCTGAAGGCCAGTTCAGTTTAAGCTCTCACTTCTTAAAAACATTAAAGCATCAGAAAAGTTGTGCAGTGCAGGGCGGTGCCGAGGACAGTCCACCCCAGCTTCTCTCAAGCCCACCTGCTGTGGGGAGGGGTGGTTACTACTGTTTTCCAAAAGGATAACATCTTTTTGACATCTGGGATACGTCCTGCCAAAAACCAGACCCTCTAAAAGTGTAGATTAATGATTTATTTAATCGTGTTAAATACAGTTGCCAATAATTACCAGATAGGTAAATAAAACCCTGAAGTTATTATTAATATTAATACTGGAATAGCGATGCTTGATTGTGGATTTTGAATACATGGATGCTGTATTAATCTGAGAAGTGGCTTTGCGTGATGTTATTAACATCTGTTATTTGCTGGGTTCTGCCTGCGTCTCGGGTCCAGTCTCCAGGCATGGCTCGGGCTGCTGTGAGCCCCTCTGCGTCTTGCCCTCTGTCTGCTGGAGTGCCCAGCAGTGAGTTGATCTCAGTCCCAGCTCTCCATTGACACTGTCTCCTCCGCCGATCTCCCGCTCCGCAGAGAACTCTCCAGTCCCTCACGCCCCCCGTCCCCCTGTGTCCCTCAGAGGCCTCCCGTCCACCCCTCTGTCCCTGGGCCCTGTCCACCTCTCGCTGGGCTTCCCAGAGTCCGAGTCACTGACCCATGGGCTACTGGTGCCAGGGTCTGGGAGCTGCTGAGTCACTGTTTGCTGAGCTGTGTCATCAGCAGAATGAATGCCCTGTGCATCACTGTGCATCAGCTCTGTGTGTCAGGCATGGCCCCATGTATTTGACACAAACAGCACACACACATAAAGCAAAGCGATGCCCACAAGAAGGGAGTTTAATACATCTCGTCCATTAGCTAACCAGTACGTGTGGGCTGAGGCTCAGGAAGGCAGCTCTGCGCGGCTCAGGCTTTAAGACGTCAAGGGGCGATAACAGCAGCCTGTCGATTTAATGAGGCCTTAACTGGTTTGTCGTCATCGGCATTGATCCAGTTATCTGCAGAGCCTAAAGCCTCGCTGTGTGCGTCACGGGTTCAAGACGCTGTCTATATATTCCGCGGTGAATCACCGGCGCGCGGGGCTCGTCGGCGGCCACGCGCTTCCCCGCGCCCCGGCTCGCGCACGCTGACCGCCCGACGCACAGGTCGCGCTCTCCCTGGGCTCTGGAGCCGCGTGGTCGTTTGTGTTTAATAACCGGAGGGGTTCGCTCGCTGCTGCGTGGCGCGGGGGTCTTTGTGCGCAACGTGTTCGTCTTCTCTCTGTCACCCCTGACTCGGAACATTTACTCATAATCTCACACGGGGAAGAACGTTTGGCCACGAATTGTGTCTCTCTTTTGTTGAATTGCCTTTTCTCAATGAAAACAATCCAGGCGACACAGCGCAGGGTTTTAGTTCTCTATCCGCCTGGGAAAACAAGGCGCTTTCAGCCTCTCCCTATTAAATAATTTCCACATCCTGAACGTTTCGCGCCCACATTCCAGCTACGCTTTCTATCGTTCTTCTAGCCTGTATTGAAGTTAAAGATTGCATTTTAATTTCTCAACTGAAACACGTGCACGAGTTCAGCAGTTCAGCAACTGAAGTGGTGCTTTTCCTGCTTTGTCTGAGATAAGAGTGTCGCTGCATCCAGACAAGCGAGACCTTTAGTACATCTCGAGGCTCGACCACCCCGCCGTCTCCAGATCTCGTCGCAGACGTGCGATTGTCCAAGAAAATCACCTTGCTCTGAGCGCCATGTTGGTCGAGACATTTCCTGCGTCACCTGCTGAAGTCTCCCTGCTTCAACGGTTAAACAAATACAAATAATATCGCAGAAACATGACGGGTGCGAGTTGGGAATGATGCGGTAGTACAATTGTGTTACATCTTAGCTGATGGCTCACTGATAAACTTTCCCCAAGCAAGTCGCTCAACTAAACGCACTCGCAGCAGCGCGTGAGGGTCCGTTCTCATTCGCCACAGACGCGCGTGGACCGGTAGGTGGCGCTCTCACCTCTGGACCACGAAGGTCCAGTCCAGTGCTGCGGTCATTACAGATCACAGGCTCACTGTCCGAGAGAGCAGAGGCGCTGACCCCCGTGTCCAGCTGCACTCCGGACACAGTCCGGTCCCCCTCCGCGGAGCAGCTCGTCTCTCCCTCCCCGGCTGTGCGTCACGCACAGGAAGGGTCTTCTGGGAATTATTAATTAAGCAATTATCGTGGTTCTGACGTTACTTCTGCGAACTCCGTGAAGGACGTGGTCAAAAGGGGACAGGCATGCACGCGCTGTGTCTCAAGCCAGTGGATGTTTGGCAGCCTGACGACACAGAGACGTATTTGATATCTGTCGTTGCTAAGCGCACAGTCACTGTAACTCCGCGCTGGGGGGGGGTTGTGCGACAGAGCTCAGATTGTTTTCCCGCGAAGAAGATAAGAGCTTCACGTGTCTCCGAGCTCGTTCCGTCGAACTGCGTCTGCACACGCGGACAGCAGCGAGCCGCGCGGCGGGTTTCGCTTTGACTCGCGCAGCGAGCCGCGCGAGTAACAGGTGTCGCCCAGCCCAGCAGATTGCAAACATCGCGCGACAGCGAGTTATCCCGCCCCCCTGTTTGCTTAATCAACTGCAGCCTTTATCTGAACTCGCCGGATTTTCTCATTTTTGCCAGGGGAGCCCAGAAGAGCTTTTTTTTTGGGGGGGGGGCGTCTGTAATGCAGCTTGAACCATAAGAAGCAAACGTGTGAACGGGGTCAGTTCAGACAGCGCAGGCCGCGCTGGTGGAGGTGCCGTGTCGTGCCGCCGCGCTGCTCCAGTGTGATAAAATGGGGCTGCTTGCGATCGGCAGACATCAGCTACACTCCCGCCCGCCTTTCCCTCCACATCCCGCCGCCTCGTCCTGTTGCAAACGCGCGGATGCGGGTCTTCGTGTTGACCGGGAACGAAAACAGAGCCGGGAGCGTTAATTAAAAGACCGATTTTATTTCGGTGCGGCTTTTCGAATCATTGCCTTATATGGCCAGGCAGCCCTAGCGCGTGCCGGCTCGCAATAGGTTGCGGGTTGCCGCGCGCCCTGCCTGCGCTGTCAGGTTAACCCTTGCGTTGCTGAATTTCAGTGAGCAAAGCTGAACTCATTCGCAGGGGGGGGGGGGGGAGGTAATTAGCGAGCACGCAGTCCACCCCCTTTCAGATTTTCACCCTGTGTCCGATGAAAAGAAAAAAAAACAGCGGCATCAATTCGATTAATAATTTTGGTGTGCAAACGGGAAATAACGCTTCATCACGACAGCAATTATTACACTAATTGAGCGCGCCAGCTGCATCTCCGGGCTACATTTCAGCTCTCCACTGCAGCCCATTAAGCACCAATTTACACGTGTGTGTCTGCGCCCGCGCGGAATTGGCAATATCAATGCAAATGACTTCCAGGATTTCAAGGGGGACGGCAGAGGCACGCGCTCCCAGAAACCAAAAGTTGACTTCGGAAGCTGTAGGCAGAGAGGCTCCGTCTGTGTGGGTGCGGACCAGTTATTCCAGTAAATGTCATGACGAAGTCTACGTTTTGGGATATTCACAGGGTATATGATCAGCTCAGAAGGTGTGAAATATCTCTCGATGCCCCTGCATGATCTGGGGACAGTAGTTAATGCTCTGGAGGAAGTGTCGGTGGGCTGCCGAGACCTGGGCGTTATGACCTACATATCTCTCCAAGCAGGGCATGGGGATGCGCGTGGTTCTGCTGAGCTGCACGCGAGCGGTCTGACAAACGCCTCGAGCTCGTACCCTCGCTTATTAACTGCGGAGGAATTTGATCAAGGAATGCGCTGCGGTCTGGTCCAGAATTACTCAGCAAACTCCGTTTCCTGGCGCTTGCACACGTGTGACTGAAACAAACACTTGTCCGCATTCGTTTAGGAGGGTTAAGAAGTAACTGTTAAAAATTGCTCGAGGGTTATATGCCTTTAAATTCCGTGTTTTTGCCCACCTATCTACAATCCCCAATGGAACCTGGAGCTGAAACCCCGCATAGCAACGCGCTGATGAGAAAAGTTATTAATCTGCCGGCGATTAATGTCTTTCTCGCTCCTACTCCGAGATCTGAAGGGTTGTTCCCGGAGCCCGGTTTGCCCAGCAGAATATTTCCTCTCTATCTAAACCGGTTAATCGCAATCTTTTTTTTTTAGAAAGGGCTCAGATTGTTTTCAGTCAAAAATGTCTGCCCATGTTTGGGCAAAATGCAGCCTAACACAATTCCACAGTAAACGCACATAATGTTCGGATTTCGGGAATCATTTTAAACGCGGAAAACATGGCCTTTTATCTCCGTGTTGATTAACGTTGGCTATTTTATTTTGTATTCAATTGATGTCTCGTCTTTCCGCTGTATTTTAGCCCTTTCGCAGTTATTTCGGTTCCGAGGAAACGAGAATTGTTAAGGGCAGGTCACGAATTTGAACACAAGCTCGTTGATTCCTTGAGCTGCACAAGAGCCTCTTTATGTCGGAGAAATTTACGGCGGGTCTTTCCCTAAACGTGGTTTTCTCCGTCTAAAATCACGGCGGTGTGAGCGATTCACACTCAGCTCTGTTTGCTCTTGTCCACCGGTTTGCTCTACACCATTTTAAAAACTCCATCCGATTTCCTCAGGGATATTGTCTTTGAGGGAACAAGCGGTTTGCATGACGTTACAATTCCAGTGATGTGCTCTTACACGGCGGCATTTCGGGAAAACTACCTACACGCGCTCTGACAGGGCCCACCCCCCGTTCTCTCTGGCGTGTTTCTGCGACACGAAGGTGTAACACCAGCTGGGCACTGCTCAGGTACTGCGTGACGTCGGAGCTGCTGTCTGCCCCGCGCGGAGCGGAGCCCGTGCCCGCTGCACGTGGACTCCCGGCGGTTCCGACACGAGACGTGACAGGAATTCCCGAGCGGCTCCTCACGCACGAGCATAAGCGCGCGAATTAAAATATTGAACCAATGGCACTTCTCGTGAAAGAGTTGGGGGATCCGACTGTCGTCTGAAAAATATTATTCATTATAACACGAACTATACAGAAGCCCCCCCAAAAAATACCCTGGGTGCTTGTTAACACTGAAACAAATAAAACAGTCCCTCGTCTGCAAACGAAACCGGCCAGCGGGGTTCCCGCACAGCTCGGACAGACCCGCTGGGGACGGCGGGGAGCACCGAGGCGGAGACCAGAATCGACAGGGTATTAAAAAAAAAACAGCGCGGAGGCTAAGTGTTAAAATTTTCATCAATGAGTATAATTTCGCCAGCTCCCTCTCGCCGCCCGACTCTGCTCCGCATCCGACAGCTGACATTAGAATAGAACCTTGCGTTAGCGCCCCCCCAGAAGCTGACGTCACTGTGGTCGCTATTTGCATGAAACTGCTTTTCTGCAGCCGCTGCCGGAGCTCATATCTCGCTGTTTCTTGCCGACGAGCACCAGAGAGAGAGAGAGAGGGAGAGAGGGAGAGAGAGAGAGAGGGAGGACGGACGAGACAGAGCAGGGGGAATACAATTCTCGCAGCAGACAGCCGAGAGTAAAACCGCCAGCCGCACACAGCGAATCCACCGCGACCCCCGGCGTCCAGCCCCCGCTGCCCTCGACACCCCTCGCTCGGACCCCGGGCGGGAATGGAGCTGCCCGCCGCCGGCGAGCACGTCTTCGCCGTGGAAAGCATCGAGAAGAAGCGGATCCGAAAGGTAACGTCCTCCTCCTGCGGCCGGGCTGCCGATGAACACGGCGTCTCCGGTCGTGGTGTTTATGCGTCTTTTCCTTCTGTCGTGGGTTTGTCACGGGGGTCGTGGGATGGTGCTGCGCGCGTTAATTCTGTGTTTGTGCTCGCAGGGAAGAGTGGAGTACCTGGTCAAGTGGAGGGGATGGTCGCCCAAGTAAGTCTCTGTCTCCCCATTTTATTAACATGTTTATTGTGAGCCCCATCTCCCCCCACATCCACGCGCCTCGCAGTGCTGTTCCCCCCAAACCCGCGCCCGTGTGTGTGTGTGTGTCACTCGCGGATGCCTTCACTAATGCATGCAAGGGAAGAGCGCGAGCCCACGGCCATCTAATCCCCTTTTAATTATCGCTCTGTTTCGCACTGGCTTCGCGCAGCGGTATAAAACTGAAGTTAAAATGGCCCCCGTCCGTTTTTTTTTCCCTTTTGGTTTTTCAGTAATGAAAGTAGCAATAACACGCGCTGTCACACTTTGACACCCACAGTGAAATAAGTCCTCCTTCAGCCCGCTGGAGTGGATGAGGGTGCACCCTGCATGCGTTCATCCACTGCAGGGATATCGTAGATTGGCACCTTAGTGTTAAGAATGTCATATTTTTATAGCGGTCTGCCTTTGTTTGCGTGGACTCCACAGTGGAATGACAACGTAGTGTCAGATACGAACACAAGCGGAAATGTGGACAGTGTTGTGATGCACAATACCGCAATAATCGGTTGAATCCCGGTTTAGCTTCATGAATAAAGACCCGCAGTGAAACAAACGTATCTCTAGCAGGGCTGTCGGCTCAGACGCCAGTGAACGGCGCTGTTCACTCTCGGGGAAGGCGATGGCAACATCAGTAGCTCTGAACCCGCTTCTGCTCCTCCTGGGACTGAGCTCCCGGCCGGCTGGGGGCCGAGGCGGCCGGACACCGGCGGCGCCCGTGCGGGAGGGAGGGAGGGAGAGCGAGCGCGCGAGAGAGCGCGGAGGGATGTTGACGTGTTTTTCTCTCTTTCTCTCCCTCTGTCCCCTGATAGATACAACACGTGGGAGCCGGAGGAAAACATTCTGGACCCGAGGCTGCTCATCGCTTTCCAAAACAGGTGAGCCGCGCAGGCAGCCTGCGCCCGCACAGCGCATGCCTTATATGGCGAGGAGCGAGGGGGGGCGGGCGAGCTGTCAGTGTGTGTGTGGGGGGGTGTTACTACAGCGCTTCCCGGCCTGCTGGGGGACGAGCCTGCGTGAATGAACTGTTATTGGCATTGCCTCGTTCACCCAGCACTTCCTGGACTCCTCTTTCGTGTTTTCTTTCTCGCTTCCAGTCTGTCCGCCTCTGTAGCGGAATTAATTCTCCGGGCTGCGGGTTGGCTCACTGACACACACACACGCACACCGACATGTTGCCCGCTGAACACCCCTCGCGTTCTGAGTGTGCTGTGACATGAGATTGAACTTGGTGCACTTCCTTCTGAAGTCTGACAGGTTTTGTAAACATTCCCGGGGAACGTGTTATGGCACATGTCCAGAAGGTGGTTTTTTTATATATATATACACACACCGCTATCTGGAAAGGCGGTGAAGATGAAGCAGCCCGTTTCGGAGCCTGCCAGGAGAACAGTCACAGTTGTGCTGCAACAGCTCTGTGCCACAGGGCGAGCGGGGGTCTCCGGGGACTCCAGCGTTTATACTCCTGTTCGGACCGGCGGCTTTTCACAGACACAGCAGCCGCGCACGCAAGGCCACGCGGCGCCAAGCGAGCCCCCCAGCGGCCCGGCCTGCTCGCCCGACCCCGGCTGCTGCTGCTGCTGGTCCAACCCCCGGCTACAGCCTCCCGGCTCCGGCTCCGGCTCCGTGCTGTCGCCGGGGGCTGCGCGCCTTCCTCGGTGTTTTTATCCCAGTCCCCTGGCTGCTGGCGGCGGCCGGCTGTGTTTGAGCCCCGCTCCGTGTTTCCTGTTGACTCCCAATAACTCGGGCGGCACAGCCTTCGAAACCATCCCCGTACGGGGGGGCACGGCGGGGGGGTGTAACCAGCACTTAAAGGCACAGACACTGAACTCGTAAACAAACCACCGGGGTCGCTCCGCGCGGTTATTGCCAAATGGGCTGTGAGGAGCTGGGGACGTCGCTGGAGGTCGCCTGGTGGGAACGGATGATCGGCTATTGCTTTATGGAGCATAAAGTTTGCTGTGACTGGGGGTGTCACTCCGAGTTTCCCCTCCTGGCCCATTAAGGACACCCCTCCCCCCGTCTCTCCGAGTCCGCCCGCTAATCAGCTTGCAAGCGCGCTGCCTCGTTCCTCGGGTTTTGTTTTTCTATAATTGTCCTAATGGGCTCTTGCTCCGGGGAGGGAGGGGGGCCGTGGGCGCTAAACGCAGGCCGATTAAAACGCGCCTGGCCGCTACTTTAATTAGGGTTTGTCTCTCCCTAGCTGTAATTGATTTCGTTCATTAACATGTGTGGTGTAAAGTATATACACTGCAGACGACGTAATAACCGCTAATTATTTCTTCTCAGACGTCGTGAGGTCCAGCACAGGGACTGAGCAATAATGACACGAGCAGTCATAGAGCTGACAAACAAGCGTTTCTGTGCCATAGGAGGAATTGTCATGCATTATCCCAAATTCAACCCCAGAAATTCAGCCTGTGAGTCTAAATTCTGCTTTGGGATTTAAACCTGCCTGTGCACCTTGCAGGAGGGCCTCTGCCTGTGTGAGTGACCCCTCCAGCAGAGGCTGCTGCAGACGTGCTGTGTGTGTGGCTGTGTGCCTTAGGGCCGAGAGCAGCAGGCCATCAGCAGGCCACGCGCAGAGCTGGAGGGCACTGTCAGCCGGCAGAAAGCGTCTCTTCCTCTCTGCACGTGACGGGGGGGGCTGGGCTTCCACTGAACCTGGCCTTACGTCTTCAGGCTAAAACTCTTGAGTTTTTATAAAGCTCTACATGCATATAGAGCACAGACCTCCCGCGAACCTTGCGCTCTAACCCTGTGTCCTTCCTGCAGGGAGAGGCAGGAGCAGATGATGGGATACCGCAAGAGGGGCCCCAAACCCAAACACCTGCTGGTCCAGGTAAGAGCACATCTCCCGCCCCGTGGGGAACGCTGCCTGCCGCGTGGAAAGGAGCAGCGTCTGCGTCAGGCCCTGCTCGAGCCACGCGGCCAGTACTGAGACTGGCCTTCGCTCAGGTCTGGGCTTGGCGTTGTCACGGTGTGCCAGTCTCTCTAAATGAAATCTGCACATCGGGACCATTAGCAGGACTGTGTGTTGCACAGTTCAGAGGGCAGCTTCCAGTCCAGTGTTCTGTATTAAATCGAAGCTGCTGAGATGTGAAGATGGCACAGTAGAAGAGTCTTCTCCGTGCCCCTTGGTCAGATGGCCGATGGCGGCGATTCCTTCTGCCCCCGGTGTGAAGAAGCTCTGAATCCCGGGACCAAGACCCTCAGGGTCACCTGGGAACTGCAGCTTTTATTATCCAGAACCTGACGGGCTGCCAGGATCAGCATTCCTGGCTCTGGAGTGGAGCGGGAGACCAGAGGCTCGGCTCCTCTGGAATGACGGAGATGGGGGCCGCAGGTCAGCGGGGGGGGCAGGCCGGGGCAGTTAAATCGGTGATGAGGCGTGACCCTGCCGCTGCCATCCTTGAGCGCGGAGGTCAGGGTCTCGGAGAGCTGTGGGATTCGCTGCTGCGTGCCTGATGGCCTGGGAGCAGACCCCTGGGAGCAGCTGGGGGTGTGTGGGGTCTCCAGTGCCCTGATTGGAGGCCATCGTGGACGACTTGTAGATCGGCCCCCTCGCCCGTCTTCGCCCCTGAGGAGGGGCTGGCAGTGCCCTCGCGCCAGAGGCCGGGCGCGGCGGCCATGGGCAAGCAGGGCTTCTGTCTGGAGACGGCTGACCTCCATGTGCAGCAGGTCGGAAATAACGGGCAGCTGGAGGCCCAGGGAAGGGTCAGTTCAGTGCTGCGCGAGTCCCGCTCTGTCCGGCCTCGTGCGTCTGCGCTGCCCGGACCCCCTGTCTCCCTGGCCTCCTGCCCCCTGTCTCCCGGCCCCCCGTCCGCTGTCCTGCTGCCTGCGGACGCTACAGAACCTCATTTCTTTCCCCTTGTCTGATCCAGCCTCCCTTGTTCTTGTGACCCGCAGCTCCCTGCCTTCGCGCGGAGGTCCAGCGTGCTCTCGGGGCTGCAGGAGTCCCCGCCGGAAGAAGACGGGCGCCCCAAGGCTGAGCCGGTCCCAGCGGCGCCCCGAGTCCAGCCGCAGCAGTACCAGCTGAACAGCAAGAAGCACCACCAGTACCTGCCCAACGGCAAGGAGAGCCAGGCGGACCCGCAGGCCGGCGGCAAGAAGAAATACTACTACCAGCTCAACAGCAAGAAGCACCACCACTACCAGCCCGACCCCAAGATGTACGACCTGCAGTTCCAGAGGGCCAAGGAGGCCAAGAGCACCAGCGGCCCCGGCTGGAGCCTGTGCCCCCCGCTGCAGCAGAAGTGCTGCCTCAGCCAGGTGAAGGACCTGTCCGTGGAGCTGAAGAAGCTGCCGGGCCCCCTGACGGGGAGCCGCCCGGGGCTCGGCTCGGGCGAAGCCGGCGCCGCCAGGGACGCGCCCGTC